TAATTACGATTTTGTAAAATTTTATATAACTTTTCTTCTCAGTTTAACCCAATCTACTATAATCTTTGGGGTCGTCCATATCGAATCTGACACCCTGTATAATGGTAAAATAAATTTTCGAAAAAAATTAATTTTTTATGGTTATATGGAGGTCGTCATTTTTTAAAATAGAACTCCCTATTGTTTATTACACTATCTTATTCTACTAATTAATATGAACAACTTTTGTCTGAAAAATTTTTTCAATTGCCTAATACTAATTGTGTTACAATACACAAAAATTTTCAATAATTGAAACACCATTGCAACAGCATATTCTTGAGACTAAATCAAGTAAAAAAGTCCTGTACTACTTTTCCCTCCGACAAACAGTTATCGAGAGATTATAAGGTAAACATTGAAAAAGTTATAAATTTTCTCTCGAGTATCTCAAAAAGTATTAGGCAATTGAAAAAATTTTTCAGACAATAGTTGTTCATATTAATTAGTAAAATAAGATAGTATAATAAACAATAGAGATTTCCATTTAAAAAAATGACGGCGTCCTCTATATAATCATAAAAAATTAATTTTTTTTGAAAATTTATTTTACCATTATGTACCCCTTTTAAAACCGTATAACTTTTGTCTGAAAGACTTTTCCGTTTCTCCCATATTTGTCAAGATATTTCACCGGTCCGGTACTTTTTCCCTTTTTCCATCGCGTGTACAAAGATAGAAAGAGAAACTAAGACGCTCGAAGAAATGCGTGAAACAAGGACGATAGATGCAGCATACCCAACTTGCCAACGCTAAATGTTTTTTACTTTTCACGGTTGATAGCCCTGGGAATCTATAGCCGTCGCAAAGCAAAAGTAGGCGTGGTTTAGCCGAATTGAGCACACCATGTTATCCCTTCCACCATGAATAGGCCCTGGAGGAACAGGATAGATACGGGCCTGGGATATTTTTCTCCGGGAATATAGACTGGGATATGTGGGTCGGGGGAATCAGTGCGAACTTTGTCGAGGAGTTCTGGGATGTCTAGGATTTCAGGGCCTACGGTGAAGGTCCCTGATGGGAGTGGACGGGTGTAAGGAGGAATTTCGCGGATTAGCTCGAAAAATTGTTCGAATCTAATCGGCAGGCGAGTGAGAGGAGGGGGTTCGAATTCCTCGACGATCTCTATACTAGAGATCGAAGAGGCGGGGGACGGAGGCCTGTAGTGTTTCAGATGCTTCGGGGTGAGAGCCTTCAGCCTCGGAGGGATGGGGAGGAGAATTTTTAGGAGAGAAAGAAGAGGGTAGAGGGTCCTCGATTTGGCTGTCGGGACGAGGACAGAGGGGAGAAGAGGGAGAAGAGGAGTCGTGATTTTGTACACCGGGTGAATCGGGTTGCCCCTGAGGAATATTGCTTTGAGCGGCTAATAGACGTGCGCGCCGATTCCTCTGGTTCCTCTTTCTCCTTACGACGGCTCGCGACTTCCACCTGGGTCTTGGTAGTGGATCCCGTGAATCCACTAGAAATTTATATCGAGTTAGGAAGCTTGGCTAGGCTTTCTGTTTTAGTTACAATGGTTACTATAATTACGAGTTGATAACTTCAGGGTCTATCTTTAGAGGAGAAAACGAATCGTATCGAATTCACACTAACGGGGAATCCAGAGGTACGAAACAAATGCTCAATGGATGGGTATCTTCGAAGTCAACTCGCGAGAGCAAGAACGAGATATTTAAAATCTAGCGAAGGTCCCTTTGATTTGTTGAAATAATGAATAAAAAAAGAATAAGGGGGAAAGGAAGTCGTCGAGCCGAAGAATATAAATAAAAGAAAGGAAAAGAGATGATGTAGCTTAATACTTATTGCGTTCGTAGTATGAAGAGGTTGATGAATTGCGTCTGGGATCTGGTTGCGGCTGGGTCAGCTTGGTAGTCTTTCGGCCAATTTCGCGCACAGATTTTATTTATACGAAGTAATTTCGGTTGAAGTACAATTTGAAACCACGAGGTGAACTGACAGAAGCGCACTGGCGGAATCAAGAGCAGCCAAAGAGACCGAGCTAGCAACGACCCGGCTTATACAGGGTGTCAGATTCGATATGGACGACCCCAAAGATTATAGTAGATTGGGTTAAACTAAGAAGAAAAGTTATATAAAATTTTACAAAATCGTAATTATTATCGCCTGATTCAGAAAAACGTCTGAGCCAATAAGTGCACGGAGGAGCGGAA